TGGACGGGGCGGGAGGCCCCGGCTGGGGAGGAGGTGGCTGTGAGGTTGTGCCCTGCTGGACGTGGGGCGTCGGGTTGGGGGTGTGTGTCTCCCCCGCGCCCCCAACCCACCTCTGCCCCCAGGTGTTCTTTGACCTGCGGATCGGTGAGGAGGATGTGGGCCGCGTCGTCATCGGGCTCTTCGGCAAAACAGTGCCCAAAACGGTGGAAAACTTCGTGGCCTTGGCCACTGGAGAGGTGAGGGCTGAGCCTCCCTGGCCCTGCAGGGCTCCTCGGGTGCAGTGCTGGCTGCAGGGAGCTCCAGGCCGTCCCTTTACCTCATTCCATGTTCTCCTTTCCCACCCCCAGAAAGGATTTGGCTTCAAGGGCAGCAAGTTCCACCGTGTGATCAAGGACTTCATGATCCAGGGAGGAGACTTCACGCGTGGCGATGGCACTGGAGGTACCTTGGAGTGAGGCAACAGTTCCATTCCCAACCCTCTGCCTAGATGTCCCTGGCACTGGTGTGGAGCTGGAGTGCAGCGGGAACGAGGGCATGGAGCTCATAGAGACCTAGTCTTGGAGCAGAGCTGGGGCCTGGGGTGACATGGTGCTGGGAGCCTCCTGCCCTGGTCGCTCCTGCCCAGCTCGTGGGGTGCTTCCAGCTCCCTCCAGAGCTGGTGTTAATCTCTGCTCTCAGCCTGTGCTGGGAACCACCAGCATCGCCACCCCTACCCTGGTGTATTCCCTGAGACCAACTCAGCCTGTTTGTCCTCACCCTTAGGGAAAAGCATCTATGGGGACCGTTTCCCTGATGAGAACTTCAAGCTGAAGCACTACGGGCCGGGCTGGGTGAGCATGGCCAACGCTGGCAAAGACACCAACGGCTCCCAGTTCTTCATCACCACCGTGAAGACGCCGTGGCTGGACGGGAAGCACGTGGTGTTCGGCAAAGTGCTGGAGGGCATGGTGAGGTGCTGGGGGGAACGGGGTGGGTGCTCCTGGGGAGCAGCCCAGGAGGTTAGCTGGGGGCTGGCTGAGCTCCCAGCACTGTCCCACTCACCTCTGCTCTGCCCAGGACGTGGTGCGGAAGGTGGAGAACACTAAGACTGACAGCAGGGACAAGCCGCTGAAGGACGTTGCCATCGTTGACTGTGGCACCATCGAGGTGGAGAAGCCTTTTGCCATCGCCAAAGAGTAACTCCCCGCGCAGGGCACGGTGGCCTGGGGCCACCTCATGCCCCCCAATGCCTCCCCTGGCCCTGCAGCTGGCGGGACAGGGCGTGGGATCCTCTTCCATCATTTTTGTAGGAAGCACATGCACCAATAAATGTGACCAATGTGTTTTTTAAACAGTTGTTGCCTCTCTCCTGCCTTGGGAGGGAGTTGGATCCCTTTGCATCCCTCACCCACATGCACCCCTCAGCCTCCCAGCCCTCTTCCACATCTCATCCAGCTGGGAGTGGTGCCACGGTTGGCCCTGGGTTTGCTTTGCAGAATTCCACAGCACAGCACTTTGCCGATCAATCAAATCCAAGAGATTTATTACACCAAAGCCTGGATGCAGAGGGGTTTTCCAGCACCGTTCAGCATCCAAAGGCTCCTACTGCAACCCCAAACCACCGTGAGGCAGAGCTCTGCTCTCCCATCAAAGGCACTTTGGATGGTGGTGGGAGAACAGCTGTGGCTCCCACCATCCCCTTGGCTTCTCCCAAACGGTTTTTCTGCCCCAGCCCAGCAGGGAGGAGTGGTTCTCATCACAGGGACACATTCCTCACCACTGCATCCCGAGATGCTGGGTGTGTGCCCGGGAGCCTGGCATTCCAGGGGCTCGGTGCACGGCCTGGGCTTGGGTGCAGCACATGGGGAGGTAAAAGCCCTGCAGGACTCCACTGAGGACCGTGTTGGGGAGCAGGTCTGTGGGGAAGGAGTGAGCTGGAGCAGCTTGTTCCCTCCTGGGCCCCATTGAAGGAAAAAACAAACACCTTTGGGGGGCCCAGAAGAGCCTTTTGGAGGCTCTGGGGTCCTGTTCCTTACCATTGCCATGTGGCTGCACGTATGGATCGGAGCAGAATCCAAGCACGGGGCGCTGGGAGGGCAGGGAGTGTGCACTGCTGGGAAGAGGGGACGTCAGTCCTCAGCCTGTCCCCATGTCTGTGTCTTGGGGTGCTTAACACAGGTCAGGGGGACGATCTGTGAGCCATGTAGGATAACCCTGGTGCCGGCAGAATTTGCCTTCTACTCACGGGGGGTTGTTGGCCTTGGTGTCCTGCTGGCACCGCCGCACCTTCAGGAAGTCCAGCACGTCCTGGGGCAGCTCCTCATTGTGGTACAG